ATATTTTTCTCTTTGTTTTTTTTTCTCTTTTTTTTTTTTTTTTTTTTTTTTTTTTATATTTTTATATAAATATATATATATATATATATATATATATATATATATATATATATATATATATACACACGTAAATTAAAAAGTCATTCCGAAGCGGGTGACGGGATTCCGATTCCGGCTGCCGACAGCTTCTTACGGGCGACCCCCCAAACAATCTTTTTCTTTCTCTTTTAAGTGCCGACACCCCTCCAGTCGGCCGCCGACCATCTCAGCCCTCTCATAGCTATCCACTAACCGTCTCGTCTTGCTCTAACTGGAGAGTTGGGTTGTGTAGTATTTCCTTTTCTGTTTTAATCTCGTTTGTAACCCTTTTGAATTTCAACAATAATATTTCCATTTCTATTATGGTTTGGATTAACTTCGGTACCTATTATATCAGAGTTAGCCTAACCTAGCTCTATCTTAGGGTTTCTTAACATTTGCCAACCAAGAAATTTCTTTCCTACCACCTAATACCCTTCACACTCCCACAAGTTCCAAACTGCAACCATGCCACCCTAGGATGAGATACCGAGTGTGATTCGTCGTCTTTAGTAAGGTTTATAGAGACTAATGAAGAGGCCCTAAAGGAGATTATCCTCAATCAAAATTTTGAGATTCAACAAGGAGAACTTGATGAGGATCTGAATTCGTTTCAAAGAGAAGACATCAGTGATGAGGAATACAATCCCTGACGCTTCAGAATTCCTTACCAGAGAAGGCCGAGAAAGTAGACCACATATGGAAAATATAGGGATTTCAACATTAAAGTAGATCTATCAGAGTTTGATGGAGGTATGAATCCAAATGACTTTCTTGTGTGACTGCAATATGTCGAGCGAATTCTTGTGTATAAGGACGTGCCAGAGGATAAATGGGTAAAACTAGCAACCATCAAGTTAAAGAAGATTGCCTCTTTGTGGTGGGAAAACTAACAGAAGCGGAAAAAGAGAAGACAATGATAATATTACAAAGTGAGAAAAGATGAAAAAAGAGATGCAGAGGAAATACCTGTCACCCCAGTACCGTCAGGAAATGTTTATGAGGCTACACCAAGGTCTATACCTTACCTCCAATGCCACCGCCGGTCGTAGAGATTCAGGATCAATACCTTACAGCCATGGCCACAACCGGTTGGAGAGATTCAAACTACCGTCACATCAGATCAGGGTGAACCAACCTTGGGTTAGCGAATTCAGCAGTATATGCATGACACGTGAACCCAGGTCAGTTTAGTAGTGAGTTCCTAGAAGATTTAGCCGATATGAATCGCTGTGGCGAATGGGGAAGGCTCCTTAAATGCATCGGGAGACGGGGCAGTCATCAGTGGGATCCAAAAGCTCTTAGGGTCACAGACGAGAAAAAAGAAGCTTCGACGAATGAAGTTGAAGCTCCCCCAACCCCAGGAGACTGAGACAAGGCGACTGCTAAGACTGAATCGACCCCAGTTTAGCAAGAGTCCTGTCGGTTTAGCGGGGAGGCTGAACCGACCGACCCTAATTAGTGTTTGGAGGGTTGTTGCCTTCTTCTTTTCCTCTTTTCCTAGTTATCTTAGTTTGTTATAAATATGTTGTTGTTTGGTGTGAGGGTTCAGTTTTTGGCATTTGAGAATTTTGTTCAGCTTGTTGTCGACGGGTAATTCATCTGAGATGGTGATCGTCTCAACGGGTCCGAGTGGTGCTCCGGCCGTAGCTCGATCCCGCGGGGATATTTGTCCTTCCCAATTCCCTTCTGCAATCTTTCTTTCGCCTTACTCACATAACCACCCTCACTAGGCAAACCTGCGCTTTTGCTTCCCTTCTAATTGTTCCACTCACAAACATGGCTACAAACAACCTCACTTGCGCAAACCACCCACCAAAACGCAACCGAAAACCACTCGCCCTATTGCTAACCTGACCGCAACCCCCACATACACGCCTCTAGCTACCTATCTGCCATCCTAGCCCTCTCACAGTCGGAGAGTCAAGTTGTGTTGTATTTTCTTTCCTGTTTTCCCCTTTGAATTTCAACAATAATATTTTCGTTTCGATTGTGATTTGGGTTAACTCTGGTATCATACATAGCACACAATTCTTATTTATTTATCTATCTCACATCTGAGCTTTCATATTTAAATACATACACTTTGGTGCTTTAAACATTTGCATGCAAATGTATATTTCACTTTTAAAAAGTGTTAATAGTGTTATTTTTTATGTGGTATTAAAGATTTAAGTGCTTTGTGTGTAAATTTGAAAGTTTAGGTGTGAGATATGTAAATATATAAGAATTGTGTGCTTTGTATTAAATGCCCCTTTTTATTAAATTTGATTGGCATGAATAGTAATTTTGGTGGCAATTATGCAGGTAAAATGCCAAACTTTTAGCTGTTATCTTATTGTTTTAATCCTTCATAGATAGTATTCTTTCCATTTTTTTTTATTTCTGCTATTTTCTTAGGAAGTTTCTGCTGCATTTGTCTGCTTTAAATCACGTTATGGTGCTTCAACGGCACTCCACATTCGACAATCTGTTAATCCTACTGAATGGGTAGCGGAGAAAGCTCCCGAACCACATGATGTTTATTGGCCTCTTTTTTCTTCATCGATTATAAGGAGATGGATTTTCAAGCTATTGGTCTTAGTGGCGTCGATTATTCTGACAATTTTATTCCTGCTTCCAGTTGCATTTGTCCAGGGACTTACCAATTTGGATCAGTTAGAGACGCTGTTTCCTTTTCTGAAAAACATACTCCAGATGTAAGTATAAGAGATAATGTCAGAGGCCCTTTTAATTTTGTTTCAACAAATGTTGTTATTCCTTGCTACTTGTTTTTATTTATTTTATATTTTTTTATTTATGCTCTTTTGACAATGAAACTCAAGAATGAAAGTTTATATCTGAAATGTCTTGCAGACCATTTATAAGGGATCGTTTTAGTGCCATATCATATAAATTGTCTAATTCTGGCTTTTGACTTGTAAAATTGGAGTCAAGATGGTGACAATACTAATATTAATGAAAAATATAAGTTAAGTTGATGGATAATACTAAAATTAGAAGCTTACGTTTTTCTGATATTCTGACAAAATCCAAAAACCATTTTCTTAAAGTTTAAGATATTTTGTAGTAAATTTATTAATAATAATTGTTAAATTTTATAAATTTAATAGCAGAGCATTTGAAAATGCAGTAAGAGATATTTGAAATATTATTGATAGGATATATACCAAACATAGTAAATAGGAGATTGGATATTGTAAAAATTTGAAGAAAATTATGTACTTCTTAAAAACTCTTATTTTAACAGCATACGTTAACTTTAATTTTAATTTTCATCATTTTGATGACTGCATCATTTTGGCTATTCTTTAACATTTAAGGGACTAAATTAGATATTTTATATAGTTTAACTCTAAATAGGCCATACAAATAATGGACGATCATTTTGCCTTTTTTTCTCTATAATACAGATTTACTTTCTTTTAATATCATTCATGAAAGAAATGTTTAGCCTTCCAACCTATTCTTTATTTTAATGAGTTTAAATAGATTACCACAAATATATGATTGGCTACTAACGGAAATGCATTTTCAGTTAGTATTTTGTAGTAGAAAAATTACTGAACAAATAAAGGGGGGACTTTTGGAAGGAAATGCCTTCTTATATTTTGAACATCTGTTTAGTGCAACACAGACATTATCAGGCATCAGGATACCCAGAATGTTAATAGCTTAAAACTTATTTTAGTGGAAGAAGTGTATGAATAGTAAATGGAATTTTGCTGATTTGTTTGCACTTTTTTAAAAAATCTGGCCAAATAACAATGAAATTCACCGTTGAGGACTTTTTTTCTCATTGATTCATATACTTTCAAGTCCAAAACTGCCATGCCAGTATGTATTGACAACATTAGAATTTTCCCAAAACTAGAAATTTCTTTTTTTTAAAATCTATCATGTAGGAATATATGTGCACGTGTGGATGTACATTAACAGAAACATCTTCTATTGAATATGTGAACATGTAGTTATATATGTATGTACAAAGTCGAAAACGCATGCAATCTTTGAAAGTTCAAAGGAGAGATGCTGGACTATTAATGGTGCTTGGGGATTTTTTTCTTGCATAGCACTTGAAACATTGCTATATACAAAACAAGCACCCACAAAATTTTTTGAACCACCGATCTAATGCATTTAAGCGTGCCCCAATCAAACCATTGGGAATTTCATAATAATGAAAAATATATGCTGGGATTTTATAGTGAATTTTGATATTTGAGTGAGAATTTGAAAATAGATGAAAGAGCGTGCTAGTTTTGTAAATAGCAATATTTTGAGTGCTGTGTATGTAATTGCTGTAGAACATTCAAGTTCTTGTCCTTTTCTTTGAGAAGTAGCAGATTATCTTTGCAGTTTGCTACTTGAAGATATTGACATAAGCCTGCAGGAGTCTTTATTACAAATAAAATAGTATATATTTTCCTGCATCACAAACAGGCTATTTAATGTAATAACGAAATATTACTTTAAAATCTGATCACTTGTCATCATATTTAGTTTAGTATCATTACTATGATTAGACTCTCATAGTAATTTCAAGCGTATTTATATTTTAACCATACTTCCAACATTGCAGATCTGTTGTTAGTCAAGTAATAACGGGATATCTTCCTAGTCTCATTCTTCAGTTGTTTTTCTCCATTGTGCCTCCAATCATGAAGATTTTCTCTACAATGCAAGGAAATATCTCCCATAGTGGGATTGAAAAGAGTGCATGCAGTAAAATGCTCTGGTTTACGATATGGAATGCTTTCTTTGCAAATGTTCTTACTGGATCTGTTACTAGCCAATTTCAAATATTCTTTGAACCAAAGGTTATTCCTTGGAAACTAGCAGTTAATGTGCCAACACAAGTGAGTTTGTTTGCTCCGTTTTCTTTTTTAAATTTTTTTTAGAAGTTTACTAGTTTTTATGCTGTTCACACTTAACTGCTCTTTTCCTAAAGAGTATGTTCTTTATCTTTTCACTTTTATGATTTACTTTCAACATGTAAGCACAAAAAAATATGTGAAATTTGCATACCTATCACACAATTCTTATGTATTTACATATCTCACACCTAAACTTCCATATTTACATATTGAGCACTTTGGTGCTTTAAACTTATGCATGAAAATGTGTATTTCACTTTAAAAGTGGTAATAAATTTTTTTTCCATGTGATATTAAATATTTGAGTGCTTGTCCATTATTTTAATTTTAAAACTTTAAAACTTGGTTTTATGAATTTATTTTTTGAAAAAGAGATGAGTTTTATAAATATGAAAATAGTTTTGATGTAAATTTAATTTTTGAAAGTAACTTTTTTAATTTAAAAATAAATGAGACCAAGCTAGTCTCACATTTTGGATAGTTTGGATGACTTTTGGATGACTAAGAGCACGATACCACGAGTAATATATTTATCCCGAAGAATAAATATATCACTTGTAGTAGGCTCAATCACCTAAACTAAAGAATTTATGACATCTGTTTGGTCTGCAAAATATTATATATGAGGCCAACAAGTTTCCCTACCTAATATAAGAATTAGATAGAGTTTATTTTACCTAGGTTTCAAGTTCTCTATAGAGGCAAGGCCTATAATTAATTACATCTCAAATGATTGAGATCATTCAAGAAAACTCTCGATTAAGATCAGTGATTTTGCTTTCAAGATTTCAAAGTTTAGGTTTCCAAAATTGGACATGAGAAAATCAAATGAGAGTGACTTAAAATAGGAACAATTATTTTAAAGAATCCAAAGGAGCGAAGCATAGGGGATATCACAAATCCAGGGGAAACCCCGGTGACTTCCCTACTATCATATTATTTGGCATTATATCTTTGAAATGATATTATTTAATGTTTAATCCTGCGATTTATTTAGAATTTAGGATTTACATTTGCACAATATCAGATCGTGCAAATAACCTAAAGAGATAGAAGGATTTACACTGTACCGTACGATATCCTCAGAATCCTAAAGTGTTAGGACTTATAACTGCACAACAGGGTTATGCAAAAGCCTAAAAGTGATATGTGAGGGTTTTCGTTGCGCTAGACAAACCACCTCGAAATCCTATGAGTTGTTTAAACTAAAGAAAATGGTCGGTGTTGTGAATGTGTTTTGATGTTGCGGATTCATCTTGAAGTGGTCCTCCGTATGTCCTCGTCATGCTGCCCACAATGTTCGATCCAAGTTCTTCGTCGTAGCAACTTCAAGTTTGTTATTAATCCTAGTAATCACTAGGTTTTCTTATACTAAGGCATAATGTATATCAAATCAATAAAACATGCTGTGAAATATAATGTTATAATGTCAAACATGTATATTTGAGAGACCCGCTGCTTCTTTAAGCTAGCTTTTATTCACTGTATAAACAAAAGAAACATTGCCTGGAAAACTCGAGAAAATTGACAAATAATCCACGACGGAAAACTCGAGAAAATTGACGAGTAACAATTCAAATAAAACTATCAAAACCTTGGGAAAATCCCGAAGAAAAGACAATGAGTACTTTGTCCAAAAATTCTTGTTCAAAAGTTTTGAATAAAATATACGAAAAATCCGAAAAGAGGGGACCGTAAACACTCGGGTCTGGGCTAGACTCAAATATATATATTTGTACTCGAGGGACGTCAAATGCTACTATCGGCCACCCGGATGTATAAAGTCTGTCACTCCACTAGAAGGATGTCATACTAAACCCAACTTAGGAGGGTACTCCTTAGCCTAGTATCGTTAATCAACAAGTGCACAACCAAGTTGTAACACATTAAAATTTATATTTTAGCATGCACATGTATTTCAGACATACAAAAAAGAAATTATATTAATTTTGTAATAAAAAATAATATTATTATTTTTTTATAAAACATTGTATATGTTATTATCAATTTGTTTTATCAATTTTGAAAGATGAATAGTTGTCCACAAGTCGATCACGTCATTGGACGTAAGACCGTTAACAACCTAAGAATGTATGGGTCCCACGCTAGTCTTATGTCGGTGAATGATACTTTCATCCCACAGTTCATCATGTCCCAGATTTGAGTCCTGATGTTGTAGGATGAAATATCATTTTGCTCTACTACTGGCATCGCCCTAAGCCCCAAAACAAAACCGACCAACTTGTGACGTTGCTTGATTGTTTTATATATAACAAAAGACTATATATGAGCACTTATGTGTCGGATATAAGCAGCACAGAAAACCGAACCAAGAAGCAAACCGAACCAAGAAGCAAAAAAAAAAATGAATAAAATTAGGGATGAGAGAGGAAGAATTGATCCACCCAAAAGATCGAAAGAAAAGGGTGAGAGCCTAAGATCCTTGAATTAATCCAAAAAAAAATATCATTTTCTCGAATTTTATATAATTGGATCAACCCAAGAAGGTTATCCTCTCCAAATTTTTGTTTCAAATAGATTGAAATGGGCCAAGAACGAACATAACACTGTACTCATGACTCCATCACCTATATGTACTCACATGCCCAAGTCTGAACCCAAATGTAGTATTTATGTTATCGAAACTTTAATATTAAACCTCCACAGAACTCTCTTATAAAATAACCATAGAAAGAACTCTAACCATAGGAAGAACTGATGGCCAGGATAAAATAAGAAGAAAATTAAATCCCAGCCAACTACAACATAAACTACAACAGTAAGGGTCACAGGTAAAGGGCAGCAAGAGGAAAGCCACAAAGGCAGTAAACACCCAGTAAGACTCACGACCAAAGGCAGCAGCCAACGCCACGAAATCAGCCTCACAACAAAGGAGAAAGCCAGGAACAACCAAATAAAATAAAGGAATCTCGCGTGAATGCTCTCAGGTAAAGGCAGCAGCTAACGCAATCACTGAACCGACTTCACAGCAAAGGGGCAAGCAAGATATGAAGACTCACGGCTAGAGACAGTGAAGAGAAAACCCGGCCCAATCCAACCATTTTTTTAATCATAAAAGATTCATAGGAGAAAGCTCATAGCCAGGGAAAAATGAGAAGAAAATTACGTTCCAGCCAACCACAACACAAGCCGTAATATAAAGACTCACGGCCAAAAAGAAAACCACTATAGATATTGCTATTGTATTGCTTTTGATATACATAAGAAAGTGTGGACAAACTATTATAGATCATTAGGACTGAAACCGTTTACATCACATACGGCATGATAGTAAGTTAGTTTACTTATATCAAACACCACCACATAGAGGCAGTCATTGAAATCATGAATTTTGGGATGACAAAATTGATTACCATTAAAAAACTTGAGAGGAATGTTAAAGAATAATCTCTAACCGAATCATGCCCAATAGAGGGGGCAAACTGAACCCACCAAGGGACAAAATCAAGTCCAGCACAGGGGCAAAACCGAGCCCATAAAAGGGGCCAAAAACAACAAATATTTCAGCCAAGACATGATACCAAAAGAAACCAAACCGAGCCCACTAAGTGGGTCGAAATTAATGTAAAACTTTCAGTTAAATTCAGTCTAAAAGAAGCCAAAACCGAGCTCACCAAAGGGGCCAAAAATAAAGAAATTTTCATACATAATTTCCACTTCTCATGGCCAAAATCGAACTCAAACACATGGGCAAACCGAGCCCTACATAAGGTCAAATCAGAAGCAAAAATTCCAGCAAGGATCCAATCCCAAAGAGCCAAAACCGAGCCCTTCAAATGGGCCAAAACAGAGAATAGTTTCAGCAAGGATCCAACTCCAAAGAGCCAAAATCGTGCCCCAACAAATGGGTTAAAACAACTAAAAATATTTTCCCTTGAAGCCTCATATTTCAAAGTATTGTGTCAGCATATGTTGTGTCAACATATGCTTCAACATAAAAATGGATTCCAACATAGATTCTAGATGAGCAAGCATCAATCCAAAATTCATATTCATAACTTTTTATGCATCTTAAGCAGGAAAGAAACATAATCTTTTTCCCTAAACAAATCATCCTTTTTTTAACAGTAAATTGCTTCAACAAGGAACAAAGAAAGAAAGCCATAATTTCTTGCATGTAGGTATAAAAATAATAGAAGTGTAAGAAGAAAATTTGCATGTGAGAATGAACCTAAACATGTTTTCCATATATCTTCAGCAGAAAAAGAAAAGAAGGCAGCCATATCATGCTCTATTTTAATGTTCCCAAAAACCATTTCATGCTTAAATTTCAGAACAAGCCCAAATATTGTTTCCACATACTTTAGAAGAGTAAACATTTTTGGATGCCATCATAAACAATATAGAATAGAGGAGAGAAGAATAATACCTCTTTTATGAAAATTTAAAGCAAAATTATAAGACAAATTCAAGAAAACCACTCCAACAGAAATCCTCCTTTTAAAGACTTCAAGAAACAGAAACCAACAAATCTTTCACACTCCCCGTGCACAAGAATCAAACTTAGAGAAGATTTCAACAAAGCTGCCCTTCCTAAAAGTTTCAGAAAACAGCAACCCACGAATGCTCCACACTCCCAGCGCACGAGAACTTAGTATAGAAAGGATTTCGACAAAGCTTTCTCCCCTAAAAATCTCAATCAGTAAAATCACAACCTCTATTTTCTCTCAAGAAATTTTTAACAACCCAAAACAGTGCTCTATGAAGTCTTTTTATAGGTAGAGAAGAGAGGGGACAACCACCTGCCATCATTTTCGTGGTTGAATAGAACAACAAAGATGGAATCATCATAATAAAGATGGAGAAATTAAAACCTCGAGAAGGAAAAAAGGTTATCCAGCTTGGCCCTTGCAATTGGAGAGCCGAAGAGTAGCGGCTGCGTGAAGAAGGGGAAGAGTCGAGAGGGGGAGAGGAGACAACCGCGTGGATCGTCCACGGGAGCTAGGGCACGCGAGGGGAGT